GGAGGGAGGGGGTGTTCAGATGCTGGGACCCTGGTCAACAGGAGCTTCCCAGGCCTCCCCTCTAGGGGCTTGGACCCAGGCGGTCTGCAGGGCCTGGAGGTCTGCACGTTGGAAGAACCTTCCAGTCAGCTGATGGTCAGCCTGGCGTGGAAACCCCCAGGGAGGAGGAGGCCCCCAGCAGTGTCCAAACTGGGAAAGGGCAGGATATGGTGCCGTGAAAATAGGGATTAGCCCTTCCAGAAGGAAGGGGACGGAGCTGGGGCTGGGGATGAAATATGTCTTCACCCGACTGGGTATGGCAGGCCGCCGCCATGAGCAGAAGAGGCGGCCTCAGCCCCTAGCGGGCACCGGGCTGCCTTCAGGCTACCAGCCGACCCGGACCCCGCAGCAGGTTCACTGAGTCTCTGTCACCACGAGATGGCGCTGTCTACTAAAATAAACGCATCACGCAACCTGCGGGAGAGAGCTGGGTGTGGAAGAGTCATATTAGGGTTATGTGACTTCTTGCTTTGAAATCAAGAAACACACATTGTCAAAGGTCATTTAGCCCTCAGCTGGTGACCTGTGTAGCCTGGCGCCATGGCCGTGCTGTCCTGCAGGCCATGGTGGGGTTGCTAGAGCCGGCAGCTCCTCAGAAGGGGCCTCTGTCCAGAAGTGCCGCTGTTTTCCCTCGGTATTCCTGCCTGCCGTGGATTAGCATCTTAGCTCAGTGCGTGGCCTCCACCCTCAACAACCCCTGCGCCTCCCACAACCCCGGCGCCTCCCGCCCGCGGTCCCATCTCAGGCAGGGGCAGCCGATCTTCCAGGCACTCAGCCCCCAACCCCACTGCGTCCTCGCCTCCCTGCTCCTCTCATGCCCACCCTCAGGTGCTCTTCAACCTCACCTTCAAGAAAGATCCAGAACCAGATGGAACCCCCACCTCCTCCACCTCTACTACTTCCCCAGCTGCCACTGTCCCTGTGGATTCTTTCGGCCACCTCCTAGCCAGCCGTCGGCGCCCACCCCTACCCAGCCTCCATCCCCTTCTCGCAGCAGCCGCCAGAGTGAGCTGCTAAAACCCAGGTCAGATCACCGCACTGCTCTGCTCGGAAGCCTCCAGGGCTCCCCTTGGCCCTCCAAGTAGAACCCAGTGTTGTCAAAATGGCTCACAGGGCCCAGCAGGACCGGCTGTCTCCCACTCCTCACTCTGCTCCAGCCACACAGGCCTCCTCCAGCCACATGGGCCTTCTCCAACGCACCATGCTCGGACCTGCCCCAGGGCCTTTGCACTGTGGGGCCCTCTGCCTGAAGCTGTCTTCCCCAGGCTCCCTGTCACCTCCTTCGAGTCTTCACTCAGCGGGCACTTTCTCAGTGAGCCCTGCCTGACACCCCACCCCACCTCAATTTACTATTGCGTCGTCCCTCCAGTCCCTCTGTGGCGGCGACCCCCGTCCCCTTTCCCAGGTGAGTTTCTCTCATGACACTCAGCAGCGGCCCTCATTTGGTTCATTTGCCTTCTTTATTGTGGGTCTCTGCCAGACAAGAATGGACACTCCCAGAGGGCAGGGGTTTTTGTCTTTTATTCGCCGCTGCATCCCCACACCTGGAACAAGCAGTGGCATAGAGTCAGCTCTCGTCAATATTGGTGGGAGGGGTGAAAAGCTGGGTGTTCCAAGTCGGATTATGTCAACACAGATACACATGGACGGTCGGAATAGCTGCCCAAGCTGCTAGTGTATGGCCCGGCAAGACTCTGACTCACCACCAGGAGCCAGTGTCAGGCAAATTTGCCCCCAGGAATAGAAACAAGTGTCTTAGGAGGTAAAGGGGGCTGGGTAGGTGGGCATGATCCCTGCCTTCCCACCTGCAGGTGAGGGTATCTGTCCACAGGGGCTGTGCCTGCGAAGAGCAAAGAACCACAGGCCTTTGTAGGGGGGCCAGGGAGAGGGAGGCACTGGCATTTCGGGATTTTTATTCCTTAAAAGGAAGGATTTGATCCATTTCATCAAAAGCGTGCCGTCCTGACAGACTGCGGCAAATGTGGATACACTGTACATTCCTTGGAAAGCATTCCGCTCATTGTGTTTGGTATTGACACAGAAAGAGCGCAAATATCAGCAGACAAAGCAGACTGCAGAACATGCCCAGACCGGAAAGGTGACTGTCCAGCTGCCGCCTGTCCTGGCCTGAGGGTGCCCCAGCCCTCAAGAGCAGGGGACGTGGGCGAGATGTGGTTGGAGCGGCCGGACCCTCGTGGTCGGTTTCACGGAACTGACCTGTGACGCTCGCCCCGGTCTGACGCGCCGCCGGGTGTGGGCTCCGGCACTGAGGGATGGGAAGGCCCTGTGCATAAGTGGCTCCCAGCCTGCTGGCGAGGGTAGACCCTGAACAGAGTCTGCAAGCCCATCACACTTCAGTTCTAACCCAGTTCCCCTCCCGGAAGTTCGCCGATGCGGAAGGGGGAGGAAGCGGACCTGACTCTTCCAGCCATGTCAGTCTTCTCTGTGGCTTCTTGATGTTGAGCAAGAAGGACTTGTTGTCCAGACAACTATGCATCCTTTTAGTGTCAATGCCAACATAATTACCTGAGCAAAGGATTCTACTCTTAAATAGCACGGGGGGTCGGGGGTAAACAGCAGAAGGATCATCTGTTCCAAAACTTTCTTTTTATGTGTGAGCCAGTATGTCCTCCTGGTGGATGGAGTCTTAGACTCTAACCTCTCAGGACTCCTAGTCCAGTGCTCCTTCCAGCTCACCACCCACAAAATCTGGCCTCACACTTTTAGCCTGAAAATCTGCATCGTCATTTGTCTCCTTGAGATGTGGGGCCGCTGGCCCTGGCTCCTGCTGCCCGTGGGGGACAATCTAAGAAGCGGCCTCTGTGGCCCCAGCCTCAGAGTGACCAAGGGAAGCCTCTGGCTTCTTCACCCAGACACCCTCTGTTCGCTCCCCACCTGCCTCCTCGGACAGCCTTTCTCTGCTGCCGGGCTGGAGACATCTCCAGGGTCCTGCGGATGCCCACATGGGCAAAGCTGGCTCCATCTCCACGCTCAGGAGGAGCACGCTCCGGGGAACAGGTGAATGTGCACACCTGGCTCCATCTCC